CCCTACAGAAGCGGGGCCCGGCCTTGGCGCTACGACCGGGCCTTCCCTTGGCCGACCAGCCTGAGGCTACGGCGCGTATACGGGAAGGCCCGCGGCCGAACACTGAGCGAGGTACTGGCGGTTTAAGTCTACCTATCGAATGTTAAAACCTAGAATCAACCTAGGAGACAGTCTCCCAGAGATGGATGCAACATCTGAACCTAAGTAAAGAAGACATAAGTCAGGTAAAATGGTTCAAAGTCTGCAAAAGTAGCATCTCTTCAATGGCAAATCAAATATCGCTGTCTCCCAACAAATGACCGGTTAATTGACAGATCCTCTCTGAAAAAAAAAAGTACAGCTGAACCGTGGTGCAAACTCTGCATATCATCTTTCCCCAGTAGGAAAATCCTGGAAACAATTGAACATATCTTTCGAGTGTGCCCAGGTGCAGTCTGGCTTTGGAGATGGTGGGATTGGGTCTGGAGTCAACTGGGTTGAAATCCTACTGGAAGTACGATCTCTAGATCAGACAGATGACTTTACTCAGAACCTGTTTATCCTGGGTAGGAGAGCGATCCGTTGGGCCACGTGGCAAAGGAGATGCACTAACGAATGGGAAGGTGCTAGATTGGATGGTCCTGAGTTTACTGAAAATATCAGACAACAAATTCAAATGGATATCTTGTACCCATGGGAAATAGTTAAGCAAAAGATCCATTCTATAAACATAACCTTTCCATCTTTCAGCAGAGTCTGGGTCTGGGGGGGGGGGGGGGGGGGGGGGAAGGATAGGGAGGGGGGGGGAGAGCAGTCAGTCGGGCGAGGAAGGGAAAAGGTTAAATAGGAATTACAAGTTAGTATTTAATGAATGGACTGAGATAGATCCCTTAATTCCCCTCCGCTCAATGGGGGATTTCCCCAACCCCTTCCCACCCCGTCAGAATGCTATCGTCCCATTATCATGGTATGGCCTGGATGAGCAGCGGGGCTAGTGGTTTATGTTCATCTGGCACCCTGGTCTGGGTGAAGAGGCTCATCTCCCACCTCCTCAACATTATGTATTCAATGGGACACTGGACCCGGTTTCCAGCAGGTGCAGCTCCCCACCAATAGATGGAGTGACATGTACAGGTATACTAGTTGGGGGTGCTCATATCACCTCAACTAGTATTTCCTGCAGAGTCTTTAAAAAAAAAAAAAAAAAAAAAGGGGCAACTCCTGGGCCTGGTCCCATGAGCAAACAGGACTGGGTTCAATTCATGAATCTGCATGTGCTTTGCACAGAGATACAGAAAAGCAGATAATTGCAATTATGTGCATCTGTCCACAAACAGGTCCAGATTCAGGAATTAAATCCAATCCTCTTTGTTGCTGGGACCAGGCTCCCGGACTGGTGAGGAAGAGAATATAGGGGCTCACCACACCACTGTCGAAATGCTAAAAAAATCGATGATTGTCAGAATAAATTTGACAGCCGCCCGATCGACAGTTTCCCCCCTTTACCTACACAGAGCTGTTGAATGCACGAGCTCATGAATGCAAGACGGAAACTGACAAACGCGCCTGAGGGTGGGGCACTGGGGACAAGCGTTCGGTCGTCCCAACCTCAGGCCCATTCACCAAATTGGCAAATTCTGATTGGCACTCGATAGCCGAGCGGAGGACTGTTGAAGACGTTGGAGTTGCAGGGTGGGGAAGGAACCACTTTCGAAAGGGGGTGTGGAGAAGCTTTCAAGTTCTCTGACAACTAGCAAAGTCTTTTCCCGTATTCATTTTCGAAAGGCTGTGTGGCGATGAGAAACTATGGAAAATTGCATTTTCGACAGTGGTGTGGCGAGCCCCATAGTGTCAAATATGTGTCCTAGTCCCTTGTCGCACCACTCACCTAATGTGCAAAATGAGAGTGAACCTTCTGCTAGATCGTGGAGAGAGAGAGAGAGAGAGAGAGATCGCCATAAATTTTGTCTTTTCAGCTCTTTTGCGGATTTGGTGCGTGTTGCAGCGAGACCCCTAAAGACATTCCTGACGCTGCTGGGAGATCCAAGCCTGTCAGCATCTCACGGGTGCATTCAAGTCCATGAAAACCACTGCAGCTGCAGCTGGACCCCACCCCTTCAGGCGGGTCCATCTGCACTCCGCTGGCAGAGCGTGAACTATCTTAAAAATGATGAATGGCCCACCTACAGTGTTTCGATGGAGTACGAACTTCGCAGTTATAATGCCCTGCCGCCCTGGGCGATGGAAGTCGAGAAGCTTGACATGTGGAGATGAGGGATGACA